TTGTTGGCCTTGCACTCGGCGACGATCTCGGCGACCTCTTCCTTGCAGCGCGCAATGGCCGTCGCAAGGCTCTCCGTGCTAATGAGCGACGGCTTGGGCGGTGCCGCGTCGCTGGCAAGGCGCGTGCGGCCATGCGGCTTGGTCTTCGTGGTCTTGGTCGGTGCCATGGTGCAAAATGCAAAGTGAGCATTTGGATATTGTTCGAGCGTCAGGCTGGCTGACGTCGAATCTTACCTCGCAATCGTCATTGATTGGCTATTTCCACCTCTGAAACGATCTTATTGACCAATCACGGACGATTGGACGCTGTTTTGGACGCTGAAATTCGATGCACATCGACAACTCAGCCACCGACTCATGCCAGATGGATGCCCATCGAGGGCCGACCCCACCACAATCACACGCACTGCACTGGCAACTTGCACTCGAGGCGCGCACTGCTACACGCCATGTGGCAACGCTTCTAATAGCATGCGCAGTCCTTGGTCGAGATCGCCAGCACGCCAACACGTGGCTGCCACGATCTATTCCATGTAGGGTCGGTACCCCAGCGATACTATAGCATTGCCAGCGACCTCTTCTGCCATATATGCATTGCGAGACGCAGGACTGCTCCGCTGAAGCTTGCCGCCACGTGTGCTTGGACCCCTTGTAGATGCCGAACGCTTGGACACGCGCCAGGTGCTGGGGTAATAAAAACATGCAAAGGACACTCGCCAGCTACATGTACGTACTGGTACAGGAGACTCGTGCCGCACAATCGCCTGCGGAGGGGTCGTGGCGTCTGCCGTGGGGTTGTGAACGTGCTGCTACGTACTTAACCGGGCACAGTGGGTGCGCCTTTCCACATGGGGCAAAGTGGGTGCGCCTCTCCATATGGGTGCTTTTTCTAGTGCCGATCGATTGTGATCAATCTTCGAACATCGTCCGTACCTTCCCACTCTTCCAAGCGCCACCATGTCGTTTGCGTGCTGCTGCGCCGGTAAGCTCGAGGCCGACGCCGCCTTTGACGACACGGCCAAGCCGTACGCCCGCGCGCCGTCGCCGCAGGTCACCCGCGGCGTGGCCATCGTGCCCACGCCGCTCAACGCCCGCACCAAGCCGTCGTTCTTCAAGCCCCGCGCGCGCGCGTGGAACCTTGACGCAGCGATCGCGTCGTGCAAGGCCCAAGTCGCTGCCATTGCAACCGAGTGCTACGCGGCCAATCGCCACTTCCGCGACGTCGAGTTTGACTTGAGCGACGACGACTGCTTGAGCTCGCTCGCCGAGGAATGGGACCGCGCGCCGCCTGGCGGCACTCTTCGCGTCCGTGATATCTTTACGTCGCCTGTCTTTTGCGACCATGGCTACGACGCCAGCGACATCACCGACGGCTACGCATCGTGGTTCCTTACGGCCGTCGCGTCGGCGTGTGCGATGCATGGCCTCCTCGAACGGGTGTGCGTGGCCCGCGACGAGAAGGTCGGTGTCTATGGCTTCATCTTCTTCAAGGACGGCGAGTGGGTCCCTGTGCTTATTGACGACCAGCTCTTTGTGTCGGAAACGGACTTTGACCACGCCGACTCGGGCGGGATGGCCATGACCAAGAAGACCTTCAACGCGACGTTTCGGTCCGGCTCGTCGAGTCTAAGCTTTGCCAAAGCCGCGTCGCCCAACGAGACGTGGCTGCCGCTCCTCGAGAAAGCGTACGCGAAGCTCCATGGCGACTACAAGTCGATCGAGGCGGGATTGACGGGCGAAGCGCTTGAAGACCTCACGGGCGGTGTCACGACGCGAACTTATCTGAAAGACGTCTCAGACCATGACGCGCTGTGGCAACACGATCTCATTGGCCATCTCCACGTCGACGCGCTGTTTGCCGCGTCGATCGAGACCAAGCACTCGTACCCGGACTTGGCCTCGAGCAATGGGTTGCTGCATTTGCACCCATACGCGGTGCTGCGCGCGGTCGACGTTGGCGGCCACCGACTTGTCCAGCTGCGCAATCCGCAGAAAGGGCATGAATGGACCGGCGACTGGTCGGATAGCTCCGAGCTCTGGACCGCCGAGATGATTTCCGCGCTTGGCCACACCGGCGGGGACGATGGCTGCTTCTGGATGTCCTGGACGGACTTCCTCGACGAGTTTACCCACCTCGAGCGCACGTGGGTCGATGACGCCGCCACGTCACTCGCTGTGCGCGGGAGACCGTGGGTGACACTGCGTGCGGAATGGCCGGCGACGTGGCAGCCGTCAGTGTTTACGTTTGATGGCCCCGACGTGCTCTCACGGGTCACGCTCGTGCTGCAGCAAGCCGACACGCGCCGCTTTGTGGGCCTCGAAGGCAGCTACAAGTTTGGTCTTCGCTGCGCTTTGTACCGCAGCCCAGACGCCGCGACCAAAAAGAAGCGGGTCCTCGTCGGCCAATATACCCAAAACGCCTTCGACCGCAGCGCCAGCCTGCAAGTCGTGCTCCGCCCGGGCCAGTACGAGCTCGATGTGATGGTTCTCCGCACGGCCTCGGGGCGCGCGTCGATCGAGGAGGTCATTGCCGACGTCGGCGCGTCGCGGCCCGAGAAGCTCCGACAGCGCTGTGAAGCCGTGGATGCGAGCCGCGCCCGCGCCAAGAGCGATGTGCACGTGCTCGCAATGGCGGCTGCGACGCAACACACTGCGTACGAGCGCGCGCGGGCGACAGGCAGCACACAAGACGATGGCAGCCTCGAAGGATCGGTTGTTGTCGGCCTCCGCCTTTTGTCGAAAGCCGTTTAAGCTAGCATTCCTGGTGTATTACAGACGATAAGACACGCTATTGTTTGATGTCTTTGTGTTATAGCGACCGGCGCCAAGTACTAAGAAACGGCGAGGTTCAAAGCGCCGCCACGCGAATTCGCGTGCTGGAATGTCCCGGTACACGTGTGACGACGATGCGTGAATCGACTAAAGTCGACGGGGGCTCCTCAGTCGCTGCAAGGTCCGCGATCTTTGTAGCGTCGATATCCAGTTCTCGCCACAGGTTTATCCGTGGAAGCCGCCTTTCTACACCATCATTCCTGAAAGCTCATAATGATGGTCCATGACGTGGATGGACTGCATCAGCACGTGGGTGCAATCGTTTGTGTGGGATTTGGTGTGTTGGACGACGCATAGCAAGGTATTGCTGTGCTACTACAGTATGGGTGACGGCCGTGCAGCTCGTCGTTGCAGCGTCAAAGCACATCGCACGGCGTCTACCAAGCTGGGCAACTGGCTCGGCACGGGCCCTCTCGAGCTCCACTTCCACGACATGACCAACGACGATACTAGTACGTCGGATATGTCGTCAGTCTCATTCGCATACTAGTAGCACTTGCGGCCGTGTGGACTTGGAAGGCCGCACTCTTCAAGCCGCGGGATTCAGGATCGACGTGCCCATGCTCCCACGAGGGGTGCTGTGACAGAGAGTAGGGCTAAAATGACGCAATAATGCGTCGGGTTGTCGCTCGTTGTGCTGGTTTGTGCCAGGTAAGTTGCCGTTTCCACGTGGCATGCTGCCAGCTGCTGCACTCGTTTAAGTTCGACGTCCGCGCACAACGGCAAAGTAGCACCCACCTCACGCCTTCGGTGCGCTTTCTACCTGGCACCGCCGCAGGTGATGCTCACTTTACCTTTTGCCTCGTCCGAGACAAGAATCTACGATGCCTGCCAAGACAAAGCGCCGCGCCAAGGTGACGGCGGTCACCAAGCCGTCGTTGCTCGCAACCGAGAGCCTTGCGACGGCCATTGCGCGCTGCAAGGACGAGGTCGCCGAGATTGCGGCCGAGTGCCGGGCCAACAACCGCGTCTTCCGGGACATTGAGTTTGACATTGCCGGCAACGAGTACGACTGCCTCAGCTCGCTCACCGACCTCTGGGACTCGACGACGCCGGGTGGTGCGCTCCGCGTCCGCCAGATCTTCAAGGACCCGATCTTCTGCGACGATGGCTTCGACGCCGGTGACATCCAGCAAGGCACGACCGGCAACTGCTGGTTTCTCGCGGCGCTCGCATCGGTGTGCTGCGTACCCCGGGTCATTGAGAACATCTGTGTCGCCCGCGACGAGAAGGTCGGTGTCTACGGCTTCATCTTCTTCAAGGACGGCGAGTGGCAGCACGTCATCATCGACGACCAGCTCTACGTCACCCACACCGATTTTGATCACGCGTACGAGTCGTACGTTATCAGCGACAAGGCCAAGTACAAGGAGCTTTTGCGCACGGGGTCGCAAGCGCTCTTCTTTGGCAAGTCGTCGTCGGCCCGCGAGACGTGGTTGCCGCTGCTGGAGAAGGCGTACACCAAGCTCCACGGCGACTACAAGTCGGTCGAAGGCGGCATGACGGGCGAAGGCATCGAAGACCTCACAGGCGGTGTCACCACGACCATCTTGACGACGGATATCCTCGACTATGACCGGTTTTGGGCCGAAGAGTTTTCACGCACCAACGTCGACACACTCTTTTCGGCGGCCGTCATCAAGAAGTACTCGGGCTTGGAGTCGCGTTCCGACAACGGCTTGGTGCATCTGCACGCGTACTCGATCCTCAAGGCGGTTGAAGTCAACGGCACGCGCTTCCTCATGATCCGCAACCCGTGGGGGCAGCACGAGTGGAACGGCCGCTGGTCGGACGGCTCGAAAGAGTGGACGCCCGAGTGGATGGCAGCTCTGGATCACAAGTTTGGCGACGACGGCGCGTTCTGGATGCAGTACGAAGACTTTATTGAAGAGTTCACCGAGATCGAGCAGACCCGTCTGTATGACGCCAACTGGTTTGTCAACCAAGAGTGGATGGAGTACCGGTCGGCGTGGCCGGCAGCGTGGGATCAAGGGCTCTTTCAGTTTTCGCTCTCAGCTGACGGGCCGGCCAATGTCGTGCTCGCTAAGGCGGATGAGCGCTACTTCCACGGCCTCGAAGGCCCATATGACTTTGGCCTGCGCCTCGCCGTCTACCGTCGCAACGACGACGGCGAGAGTCGGTCGTTTGTCGGTCATTTCGTGCAGAACTGCTACAACCGCAGCATCAGCTTGGAGTTCAAGTCCCTCGAGGCCGGTGAGTACGACGTCGATGTCATGGTCGTGCGCCGCGGCCGCGGTCAGCAAGGCGCCGAAGACGTCATCTCGGACGTCGGCAACGCCCGTCCGGACAAGCTGCTTCAGATCTGCAAGAACTTTAACGCGAGTCGCGCCCAGGCCGTCAACCTCCATGGCGAGTACGACATTCTCGACAAGGCCAAGGAGACGCAGTCGACCGAGTTTGAGATCGCGGCCAACCGCGCGCGGAAGGAAAAGCTTCTGGAGATCGAAGCGGAGGAGCCGGAGGACGAAGAGACGCCAAACGACGACGAAGAAGGCAACGACGACGACGATGAGGCCCAGGACCAAGAGGAAGAGGAAGAGACCGCCGAAGAGCCAATCGAGGGCGATGCGCTCAGCGGCGCCGTCGTCCTTGGCCTCCGCGTCTACACCAAGGACGCCAACGCTACCGTGACGGCCGTCATCAAGGCCGACTAATGACATGGTGGTAATTCTTTTATCGACTAATATTTACGTTTTGGTTCGAGTGCAGACTGTTTAGAAAAGCACAGTAGACTAATTGGTGGCATCCAACACGATGGACATCGCATGCGAGTAGTACACCAGTATGTATGTGGAAGCGTATCTCGGACGAGGCTTGGTCGTGGCGTGTTGCTGGTAGCGTGATGGTAGAGTGCAACCACGTCGTTGGACCGCTCCCTGCTGCTGCCACGTGCTCCTCCATTCGGATTTTATCCGGACACGATTATCTGGACAATCAGCACGACAAGCTGCTAGCCAGGTGAGTGCCACATCGGCATTTGGAGTTTGGAATGAAGTCTCTTGTTTCGTTCTATGTGGATATATAAAGCTTTAAGGGGCCCAAAACTTCAAGAATGGTGCTCGTAGCGTTTCTACAGCGTGTGTTATGCGCCGATCAAGTTGGGCATAGTCTAAAGCATCAGTGTATCAGTTTCCATCGACTTCAACGGCTCAGAATACACACTGTACGCACGCTACGAGCACCATGCTTGGCGTTTGGGGCTCCTTAAGACTTCCTCTCTTCGCATAGATCCAAACAAGAGACTTCATTACAAACTTCCCAAGTCGATCTCTCATCGAGCAGTTTGCTGCGTCGATGTCGACTGTCCGGATGAAAGAGGCTGCAACGAGACCCAAACAATTCAATGCTACTAGTACCGGTAGGATCCACGCTGGGAGCCACCCCCATGCATGAAAACTCCGTCTTCGTCGGATTATAACGCTAGTTGAAAAAAGAGTACTTGGTGCACTCGGATTCTTTCCGAGTGTAAACGGACAAGCGTGCCCGCGACGCTGTTGCAATACCCAATCCTTACGTGCCGCCGTTCAGTAGCGCGAGACCGTTGATGACTGCTGAGGCGCTGTTCATGTGAGGTACGCGACGTGTCTTGCTCAAGCGTCGTGAGCAGTTTTCTAGTAATTTTTGTGGATTACTGTACACAGAGATCTAGCAGTAGTGGATATTGAGCCAATACGGCGCGTCCACGGCCATCGAGGGTGTCGGCTCGAAGAAATATCCTTCGTCCTCCTTCCTGATGATTTCGTACTCCAATTCGTCGTCTGCCTCCAAGCACGCGGGCGTGGAGCTTGTTTGGCTCTTGTCCGACGCCGCACTCGCGAGATCGACGATTGCAACCGTTCCTGGTGTCTGCTCCATGGACGGCACTTGTTGGTTGCTCTCGCCCATCGCAGCACCGGGCTCGTCACTCGTCGCCTCCTCGTTGTGCGTCTCGCACAAGAAGGAGGTCAACGCTGTCGGCTCGTTGACGTCGTCGTCGTTCGTCTTAATTGCTGCTGAATCTTGGCTTTCTCCCGCGTCTTCGCTGAGCATGGTCTCGTCGACGACCGTCGCCGTGACGCTACTCGCAAGCAACGAGCCTTCGTCGCCACTCGTCGCGTCCTCGTTGTCTTTCGATAGCAATGGCTGCATCTCGTGTAGGCACACAAGAGCGGTCTCATCCACGCGACTCATTTCACCGACCGCGCCTGCTGGTGTCGCGTCTTCCTCGAGCACATCTTGCCCCAGCGGCTCGGAAGCATCCTCGTCACTTGGATCCGTTGGCGCTGCGCTCGCGGCTTCAGGCGCTGTACCGAAGCGCAGGGCCATATCGTTTTGCGTCAGATACGGCAAGCCGGAGGGCATGACGTGCGAGCTCAAGCGATGCACGAAGTCGGCGACACTGGTTTCGCACCGCCGCAGACGAGCGACGGTGGCTTGAATAGCGTTGTCCAGTGCAGCCACTGCGTGCAAGCGCGTTGCATCCAGTGCGTCACCGCGTGTGAGAAAGGGCTGCAGCTGCAACTGCGCCATCGACCACTGCGCGATGGCTGCACGAAGAGCTGCAAGGAGATCTCGATGGGCGTCCAGCGCATGGTTGACGAGCGCGGCGAGCAAGCGAGAAGCGACATCGGAGTCGCTCGCGTCGAGAAGAGCTTTTGTGAACGACTTTGTGACTTGGTACAAGTGGTGCATGGCCAAACGGGCCTTGAACTCGCTCTGGCGACCGTCGTCGATGCTCTTTTGAAAGTCGCCGAGCCCCGTCGTCTCCGCGGTGGCAGGAAGCCCCGACAACACTTGGTGCCCCGCGACCATAGGCGAGGTATCGCTGCACGTCGCTGCATGACCAAGGTCCGTGCCGAGACGTACGAGAACGAGGATCAGATCGACCCCGTTCAAGTTGTTTTGTGCGGCGTCCAGCGCGTCTGCGAGGACGTCGAGGTACTCGGGCACCTCGGCGCCAGCAAAGCAAACAACATTTGCTGCGTTCGCGTGCGTATTGAGGACGGCGCACACGGCGGCGTAGAGGAAATCGGCGTGGGGCAATTGCATTTGGAGAGAAAAAACTGCAAGTGCTATCTCATTTCAGCCACTGGTGTACCGGTCTGCCATGTCACGGGCTACGTGATACCAAGTTGATACTTTGACGCCGGGAGAAAGCCGGACTCGACTTGATACTTGCACTTGATTATAAACCGATGAACCTGGACAGAGGCGCAACAAGAATCGACCACCCGCTGCAGCGTACCCGACGCCATCGGTACCCAAGTGCACCGAGCATATACGTGTTTCGCGTTATCTTCGTTGTTACAAAGAGTTCGCATACGTAGGATGGATCTCTCCGTGCGCAGCTCACTCCCAACGACCAAGTGCTGGCGCTGACTCCCACGCATTCGGGCGTAGCACTACGTATGCAAACTCTTTGTAAGGAAGATAACGCGGAACACGTTGATATATATACGTAGCGACTAGCCATCCCCTTCCTCATTATTCGTTCACCGGGCCGTGGCTGCGCAGGCGGCGGTGCGGGGGCTCGTCATGCTCTTCTGTAGTCGTACGGGGGCGCTCGTGGCCGCGGGTGAGACCCAAAAGACGACCCAATTCAACCAAACAACAACAAGACTCGACTAAGGTAGCGCCATCGTATATTGCGTACTAGTACATGCTACGAGTAGCGCGAACGGCATTAGTGACAACATGTAAAAAGGGTTCTATAAAAAACGAAGTCAAAGGGCGCTGCATTTTCTCTCGTGGCGCATGATTGATACTAGTACTCAAAATAGTCGTTTACCACTTGTACCGAGTGCGTGGTTGCCGCGAGGGGTCCGTCGCGGCACTTGTTGCATGTGGCAAGGAGGCGGCACATGGATGCCTCCAAGGATTACAGATACCGCTCGTCCATTTGCTCCCACGAAGCTGGGTTCTGTATCTGCCTGCCGAGCTCGTTCTTGACATTCATGCCCTTCAAGGTCGTCATGCCGTTGTTCAGTAGCGTAATGACGTCTTCCATTCGTGTCGCGAGGCAGCGCAGGTGATCTTGGAACGACATTGGCACCTCGTTGAGATCGCCCTTCTCGACGTCGACCACTTCAAAGTCCTCGGCGTCATTTGGCTGAGCGCACGCCACTCGCAGCACGCCCAAGGAAGCTTCTGGCCTTGAGAGAAGCCAGTCGAGATCTTGCTGCGCTGCCTCGAGCAAGCTTATGGTGTCGGCGAGCGAGCCGACAGCATCCATGAGGATCGTGCGTCCCTCTGTCAAGATGGCAGACACGAGCACTTGGCCGTCACGAGGCTTGTCGGACCCGCGCAGGTCTAGAAATCCTTGCAAAAACGCACGCGCCTCGTCACACCACTGCAAAATCCACCGGGAGGCTCGCTCGTGGGCGTCGCCGGCGTCCAGTAAGGTCGTCGTGAGGCGCCCGACGGTCGCCGCATCGGTCGGCGTAAACGCACCAATGCAGTGGTCCAAAACGTCGAGGGAAGCACGGACAAACTGCGGCGGGTGCGTCGGACCGTCAATCTCGGCCAAGTACACCTCCAAGCAGACCGACAGCAAGTCGAGGGTCGCGGCAACCGGCCCTTTGTGCTCGGCGTGTGCAGGACTGTCTTTGGACTGGCAGGCTCGCTGGTCTCGGTATGGGGCCGTGATCGCATCGTACATGGTCCACGGGTGGAATGCACTGGGGCTTTCGAGATTGTGGGCTTGCTTCGTCGTGCACACTGCCAATGTAGAGACATGGAGGGAACGAAGGTGGTGGTAGCCGTGGTATACAACAAACCCGACACCCATTAAGGTTACGAGATGTGGCTCGACCATGGCGAAGCGTGTGATGCAATACAATTGACAAGTGATGCCTACCTCGGAGAGCCCTCGGCACTTGCTTGGTCGACTTGATAGTTGGTTGATCGTTGCTTGATAGATTTGGATTTTTCGTGTATCCGGATTCCGGATACATGGATGTGCCAGATAAAAAGGGTATCCGGCAACCTCTGGTTTTGAATAGATACGGCGATCCATTCCAAGAGTTTCGACCGACGGGGTCGACCATGACGAGCTTCGCCGACGTCTTCCGCCCGTCGCTGCAGGCGGCGGCTCTCATGGCCGAGTACCAAGACGGTCTCTTCGAGGACGTCCGCGCGTACATGGCGGACTTCCGACGCCATGCCCGCGAGCACACGGAGACCAAGCCGCAAGGCTACGAGGTGACCATCTACCCGAGCCGGCTCCACGATGGACCTGCGTTCGGTCTCAACTGCAGCGACCTCCTTCTCGGTAAGCTCGCTGTATCGCGCCAGGTTTGTGAAGCGCCAGTGCACTTTGCGGCGCGCCAAGGCGACCTAGCGATCATCATGCGCTTCCTGGCCTGTCGCCCGACGTGGCTCTGCCTCGACACGATTGCGTGCGCGCTGGCCCACAACCAGGTGGAAATCGCGACGTTCCTCTTGCAGCACCGATCGATCATGCACCCGCGCCCGCTCTGGTCGCCCGTCGCGGCCCCGCGCCTCCGCAGGC